TCCTTATATGGTCAGGCTCCGCCCCTGGCTGTGATGTCGTCAGCAGCTGGGAGGAAGACCCGTGGGGTTTTTGGGTTTTGGCGTCCAGTCCTGTGGGGCCGCAGGGCTGAGAGTTTCTCCTCTGCTCCTCATCCCTCCATCAGCGCTCCTGTTTCCTCTCCTCTCTCCTCTCCTGTCTCCTCCTCTCCTCTCCTCCTCTTGCCTCCTCTCTCCTCCTCTCTTTGGGGAAAAGAAAAAAGACACTTTGCTCGCGCTCGATTCGCCGTGCGGACTCGTCTCTGTTCTTCTTCTCGTTTTCTCGTCCTCTGAGGATTTTATTTTTCTTTTTTTCCTCCTCCTCCTCCTCTTCCTCTCCTCCTCGCCGGGTTTCAACCTGACGGCCGAGAATTTTTAAAAAGTCCTTTAAAAAAAAAGACATTTTTCTTTCAGTGTAAAAAGTTGAATGAAATGTAAAAAAAAGACAGAAAAAGTTGAATAAAACTCAGCTTGTCTTCCTCCTCTTCCTCCTCGTCTTCCTCGTCGCTGGCTGCTTTTGGCGTTTCGATGTCGATGAATTAGACGATCGAGCCTCCGTTCGTCCTCTAGAGCTCCTCTGGGTTTGGGTTTTTTTCTGGACTTTTTTTCCTGCTGATTTTTCTACTTGTTGTTTTGCCTTCGTGTTGTTTCGTCCTCGTGGTCGTGCGGTCACGGCGGTCGGAGCGTCGGGGCCCCGGAGATGTTTGGGATCCAGGACAACCTGCCCCGCGGGGCCACGGCCAGCATGAAGGAGGAGCCGCTGGCTGTTCGCTCCTGGATGCACTCAGCTGGCGTGGTGGACGCCAACACAGCCGCTCAGAGGTAAACTCTCCGCCGCTCGCTGCCGCCCCAGAGGGATTCTGGGAGCTGTAGTCCCAGCGGACAGACGGCCGCTCCGCAGGAAGGTTTAGACAAGCAGGAGAGAGCTTTAAATTCAGTTTGTCTCCGGCTCTCAGAAACGATTCTCTGAGGAAAGTTTATTTATGAGGAAGAAAAACTCTCCAGATTTTCTCACAGCGACTCAGACGAAGAGAAAAAAAGATTTTCTGATCATCAGCAATTAAAGAAAATATATCTTCACATTGTTTTAAGATCAGGAAAAAAAATGTTTCAGGGTTTTTTATTTAAAAGATTTTCTTAAGTTAAAAATAACTTTCTGACTCACTTTATTAAATCAAAAATGTTTTAAAGATTTAAAATCAGATCAAGTCTGTATTTTATTTCCTGCAGCTCAGAACAAACAGAACATGTGTGAATCTGCTCGTCTTCATGTTTCATCACTTTGATTCATATGTTTCACGCTTCATTTTTCTCATGTTTCTGAAGCTGAAGGTCAAAAAAAAAAAATCAGCTTTGTGTCGAGGTGTAAATTAAAGATATAAATGAAAATGATTTCAAACTGAGGCTCGGAGAGAAAAACTAGAAATTCATTTTCATGTTTCTGCTCAAACATAAACTTTATTTATAAAGTGGGAAATTAACAAAATGTTTTCTGAAGGTCAAACCTGCCGCGTGAACGCCGGCCGACATCAGGAGGATTTATTCGTGTAGAAATATGGACAGTAAATATATGTTATTAATGATGGTGTTTCACGTCTGTCACAAAGTCACAGTTCATGTGTCTCAGAGCCGCAGATGAAACATGAACAATATGAAGTCATTAATATCAATCATATGTTTGACTGTATTATTCTAATAAAGCAGTTTAATAATCTGAGCATCAGATAAATATCTTTAATCTCATTTTAAACAGTTACAAAAGATCTGCTCAATTAATTTCAATATTCTTTAAATAATAAACAGTTATAATAACAGTTATTTTTATTATAAATAAAGTTACCTGAGAACTGATATTTGTCATATGATTAAATCTGTAAATAAAAACACACACAGTTCAGATTTATATGAAAGCATCAGTGAAACCTTCAGTTCATGTGCTGAGAATGAAACAGCTGAAACATCACTTTGTTTTTCAGACACAGATATTTGATTTAATTTGACTTTGAAAATATAATGTGTAAAATCAGTTAAATGAGCTTCAGGTTTTTAACAGACGTCTGTAAAGTGATAATATCTGTGTGTGTGTGTGTGTGTGTGTGTGTGTGTGTGTGTGTGTGATCTCCGTCTCTCCGCTGGCATCAGGACGGAAAATAATTCCGACTTTATTTTTAACGTTTGTACAAATTTACAAATGTTTAGTTTAATGTGAAAAGTTTGAATGTCGTTAAAATGTCGCCGTGAAATTTATCAGCTCAAACTTTGTGTCTGATATTTAACAAATCAAAATTATTAATAATCATAAAGCAGCAGAATAAAACCAGCTGATGAGGTGAATCTGCAGAGTGTGTGTGTGTGTGTGTGTGTGTGTGTGCATGTGTGTGCAGATTAAATGTTTATAATTTAAACTGAAGGTAAAATGGTTATTAATATCGGTGTTAATCTGAGGAGTTAAATAAAGCAGCAGCAGCAGGATGAAAAGTGTGAACGTCTGAAGTCGTGCAGAGAATCAGTGTCTGATTTATTAACATTAATTAACATTAATTATCATAAAGTTTGTGATGTTAGTTTTAGTCTTGGCTCCACAGCAGATCGTTTTTAATCGTTCCACAGATTTCATATTCTGCGCGCGTGTGTGTGTGTGTGTGTCGGCTGCAAGCTTCACTCTGAGCTTTATTTCTCAGGTTGATATTTAAAAAAATGTGAGAACATAAATCTGATAAAAGAAATGAAAGAGTTATTAAAATGAGGAGCTGCTGTGGGTCGGGGTCAGAGCTGCACTTTGACTTGTTGATGATGAATATTTATCTGACTCAGAGTTTGAACGTGTTGTTGGTGAGACGATTGATTCATGTGGAGGTTAGCGCCCGAAGCTTCGTGTCACTTTATGAATATTTAGTTATTCCTCTGAATTATTACCTTCGTCTTGTTTTTACATGTTTGAGGTCAAAACTTATTTCTGTCTTTCTCCTCACATACATGACGACGAAATTTTTTTATCATCGAGGTTTCTCTCCGTCTGTTTTTAAACTCTCACTCTCCTCTACACTTTGTCATTATTAAATATATATGATGTATAATTTCAGTGTCCTGTCACAGAGCGATGATTCAGGGATGTTTGATGCGCTCGCTGTCGGCAGTTGATTTTCTTGTGAGGAGCGTTTGATTTAAACTCCAGCGTGATGCAGAGTTTTAATGTATTAATGTTGGATTAATGAATGAATTAAAGATCATTTAGTTTCCTGATTAATAAATGTGTTAATGTTGTTGCTGTCAGCTGGAAACCATGTAGCTCCACAAATTGTTTTAACAATCATAAAAAAATATTCAGATGAACCGTTTATGTCTTTGTGGAGAGACGGCAGGTCGATGTCACACAGAGAAATGTTTTACATCATCTGAAATCTGAAGATTAATTTGAGGTGCAGCTCAGACTCTGTGAAGTTTCATGAATCTGTAACAAACATGGTGTTCTCTTCAGGCACTTTTTACAATTTGAGAAATGATTTAAAAATAAAGGTCAATAATCCCTCCAAAATCTTGTGTGACTTTTGTGAGTCACTGAGAGCTGCAGAAAAATCCACGCTGTGATTTCAAACTTTTGACATCTGGAGATTCTGTAAGATTCCTTTGCTTCTCCTGGTTGGAGGTTTAAGCCCTCGGCTGCTGCAGCCTCTCATAGACTGTCACGTCAGCTGAGCTCTGTGGGTCTGAAAGGGTTAAAACGTTCTCATGTCTTATAGAACATGTTTCACAGCCGGTAAAAGAACATCAGGAAAACCAGTCTTTATTAATGCACAGTCAAAACACCTCCCGCTGAAAAACTCTGATTTGTGTGTGGACTGAAAACGTTGAGTCCGTTTAGAAACGAGCGCTTCTTTTTAATCTTTGTCTCAAATATAAAATCAAATTAATTCACATCTCTGACGCCTTCGCTTTGACTTAGAATAATAACTGGGAATTACAAATGTTAAGTTTTGATTTCACAACTTTTTTTATTTCTTTTTAATTATGTTTTATATTTTACACTTTGTTCTAAACGTCATCAGTTTATTTAATTTCTGCTGAAAAACAGCTGAAATTTTGAAAATGTTCATTCAGCTCTTTATTAAATGTTAGTAAATGTTAGAGGAAACATTGAAGCTGTGAACCATTGTGTCTCTGTTGTCCCTGATGTTCTTCTCATACATCTGTCTGTGTGTCCCTCAGCGGGGTGGGGTTAGCCCGGGCGCACTTTGAAAAGCAGCCCCCGTCCAACCTGAGAAAATCCAACTTCTTCCACTTCGTGTTGGCGCTGTACGACCGGCAGGGTCAGCCAGTGGAGATCGAACGCACCGCCTACGTTGACTTTGTGGAGAAAGAGAAGGTGAGCGCGGAGGGAGGAGCCGGGACACAAACCAAACACATCTGAACGCATTCTCTGAACAATCAGAAACCAAACGCACCTGCGGCGTTGAACCAAACAAACAACCCGAGTATTTTGTTAGAAACATGAAGATGACACTGAGGGAGACGCTGACAGTAAAAATCAAACACACCTGTGTTACAGCCTGCTGAGCCCCACCCCTCCAGATTAACCCCCGTGTTACAGTGATGTTTACACCTGTAGAAAATCAGTGAACTTTTTCTTTCGTCATGTCGGTGTAGAGTTGGTAGAAACAGTCAGGGAGAAGCAGGGATGGAAAACAAACACACCTCTGAGCTCCAGATCACAGGCCATATCTGTAAAAAAAAAAAAAAAGTTCTTCACATGAACTAAGTCTGGAAACCAAGCGCCTATGAGAGGTTACAACCAGAAACCAAGCGCACCCTCTCACACACCCATCACAAGTTTCAGCTACAGTTTAATTTCCGTCTCCACCCGGGTGGAGCTTAGCTGGAGGTCACAGAGGTCACATGATGTTTTGTGTTCAGGAGCCGAGCGGAGAGAAAACCAACAACGGGATTCACTACAAACTGCAGCTGCTCTACAGCAACGGTGGGTACGCTTGTTTTACTGCACGGCGCTGCTGTCATACCAGTCGCTGTTTGAATCTGATGAAGATGATTCTGATGAAGGTGTGTGTGTGTGTTCAGGTGTGAGGACGGAGCAGGACCTCTACGTCCGGCTGATCGACTCCATGACCAAACAGGTACATTACTGATTATTGATTACTGATGATCATCTGTTTAAAGTGAAGTAAAGTGAGGTGGAGACATGATCGATCAGCAGTCTGATCATGATCTGATCACATGATCATCAATAACTGTGAGACAGATTTCAAAATAAGAGACTTTATTTCCTCCTGCAGTCTGACCTGTCAGATTAAAATTCAGACCGACTTCTCTCTGACAGTCTGTGGTTTCTATGATCTGATACACTCCTCCTCCTCTTCTGCCTCCTCCTCTTCCTCCACCTGTCTATGACCACATTAACACACCTGTCTGTGACCACATTAACATACCTATCTGTGAACACACCTGTCTTTGAACACACTTGTCTGTGAACACATTAACAAACCTGTCTTTGAACAAATTAATACACCTGTGTATGAACACATTAACACACCTGTCTGTGAACACATCTGTCTGTGAACACACCTGTCTGTGAACACACCTGTCTGTGAACAAATTAATACACTTGTGTATGAACACATTAACACACCTGTCTTTGAACACACCTTTCTGTGAACACATTAACACACCTTTCTGTGAACACATTAACACACCTGTCTGTGACCACATTAACACACCTGTTTGTGACCACATTGACACACCTGTCTGTGAACACATTATCACACCTGTTTGTGAACACATTAACACACTTATCCGTAACCACATTAACACACCTGTCTGTGACCACATTCACACACCTGTCTGTGACCACGTTAACACACCTGTCTGTGAACACATTAACACACCTGTCTGTGTCCACATTCACACACTTGTCTGTGAACACATTAACACACCTGTCTGTGAACACATTAACACACCTGTCCATGACCACATTAACACACCTGTCTGTGACCACATTAATACACCTGTCTGTGAACACATTAACACACCTGTCTGTGAACACATTAACACACCTGTCCATGACCACATTAACACACCTGTCTGTGAACACATTAACACACCTCAGGAGTGACACGTTGAGACAATGAGGACCAGATATTGATGGTGTCCAGTTCTCCGGAGGATGAACCCGTCACATGTTAATGACTCCATGACTGGCGCCCCCATCAGGACAAACGTTACATCTTAATCAGTCATCAGGACGTGTGTTCACTGTGTGGCTGCAGTGACCTGAGCAGCCTGTAGGAGGCCCTAACAGAGCTGCGCTCACTGTGATGGAGACTGATCCAGTCAGCACTCTGTGTTGTCCACAGTGACACTAATGGAAAGCAGCAGCAGCAGTTGAAGCATTTAAATCTAACGAGTCATTCAATTAGTGAGGTTTTAACGAGCGTGCCCGTCAGGCGTCCTGTGATCCGGCTCCAGCTGTTTCATATGAATACATTAGATGTATAATATCTGCAGGCAGCAGCTGTAATCCAACATTCAGAGGATCAAATGTTTGCCCTCAGTCTGCTGCTCACTTCACACACAGCGCTCACTCAGGCTAATAGCTAATAATGACTCATAATTGAGACAAAGAAACGAGCTTTTAATTGAGTTGTTTCTGCTGGTGGATTCTGAGGGGCGGAGACGTTCACTGATCAGCAGCTTCACTCTGTCACCTGCGGCTTCACTCTGTCACCTGCAGCGTCACACACTGCTGGACACCAGGAACACCTGGACACGACTCACACCTGTGTCTCTGTGTTTCAGGCCATCATCTACGAAGGTCAGGATAAGAATCCAGAGATGTGCCGAGTCCTGCTGACACATGAGATCATGTGCAGGTAAGAACAAGCTGGTCCAAAAACACCTGAAGACCAGGTGTGACCTCATGAGACTGTCAAACCTTGTCAACCTCCTCCTCTGGACAATTTAAACAAGGTGGACCCAGAAAAATCTAAATAGACTGTCTATTCCAAATACATTTCAGAACAGTCACACCTGGTCTGAACAGACTCAGGAACAGCCACACCTGGTCTGAACAGACCCAGGAACAGTTACACCTTGTCTAAACAGGCCCAGGAACAGTTACACCTTGTCTAAACAGGCCCAGGATCAATCACATCTGGTCTGACCAGATCCAGGAACAGCCACACCTGGTCTGACTGGACCCAGGAACAGCCACACCTGGTCTTAACAGACCCAGGAACAGCCACATCTGGTCTGAACAGACCCAGGAACAGTCACACCTGGTCTGAACAGACCCAGGAACAGCCACATCTGGTCTTAACAGACCCAGGAACAGCAGCATCTGGTCCGAACAGACCCAGGAACAGTCATACCTGGTCTGAACAGACCCAGGAACAGTCACACCTGGTCTTAATAGACTCAGGAACAGTCACACCTGGTCTGAACACATCCAGGAACAGTCACACCTGGTCTGAACAGACCCAGGAACAGTCACATCAGGTCTTAACAGACTCAGGAACAGTCACACCTGATCTGAATAAACCAAGGAACAGTCACACCTGGTCTGAACAGACCAAGGAACAGTCACACCTGGTCTGAACAGACCAACACCTGGTCTGAACACACCCAGCAACAGTCACACCTGGTCTGAACACACCCAGGAACAGTCACATCTGGTCTTAACAGACTCAGGAACAGTCACACCTGGTCTGAATAAACCAAGGAACAGTCACACCTGGTCTTAACAGACCCAGGAACAGCCACACCTGGTCTGAACCTTGTGTCCCAAGTGTGTCTGAGTGGATTCAGTTCAGGTTCGGAGGAGTTTTTGAGTCTGAAGAGAAATAAAGGTTTTTATTATTCTGTCTTTGTTTCAGTCGCTGCTGTGATAAGAAGAGCTGTGGAAACAGAAACGAGACGCCGTCAGACCCCGTCATCATCGACAGGTAGATACTGACACACACACGCACATGCACACGCACTGTATTAACATGCAGTGTGTGTTGATCTCTCCTGAATGTATTTCATGCTCTCTCACACACATTATTTTAATAGCAACATATTTCTCCTCTTCAGTGTGCGTGTGTGTGTGTTATTATAATTCAGACCTGATACATAAATCTGTGTCTTTATAAAACAACATGTCTGACTGTGTCTGAGCTGATACTGTCATCATCACTGTTTCACACAGACACACCGACAGTGTGTGAGATGATATTATTCTATATATATACACGTGTTTGTGTGTGTGTGTGTGTGTGTGTGTGTTTCTGTAATTCTCCAGGTGTGGAGTGCAGGTGCATTTGTCCCAAAATGCAGAAATCTGTCAAATCAAATAAAACAACAATGATGATGATGATGATGATGCACACATATAACACACATCTAACCTGGTCTTCATATTAATGCTGTAGAGCCAACCACATGACATCACTTCCTGTGTATCATTCATTCTTTCGTCTCTTTGTGAGAACATGAAGTTAACGTTCCTGAAGTTTATGTTCTGAAATCAATCAGCTGCTCGTCTGTTGACATGTTGAACCCACAGACGTCAGTGGGCTGATGGGAAATGGTGTTTGTTAAAGTCTGAGACACGTAAACATTGAATAAACAGTGATGTTGGATTTGAAAACACCTGATATGACTTTTGTCACACGTCGTGCTGCTGAGCTCAGGTTTGTTGGACGTTCAGTTGTTCATGTGATCTACATTGATATGAGTTTGTGTTTGTGCTCTCTGATGCTGAGCTGACTTCCTGTTTGTAGTGCTGTGAAGTTTATTCGTGATGACATCATCTTTTTTTTTTTTCTCTGTCATCAGTCAGAGAATTAAAGCAACTGTTGTGATGTCACTAAATGAAATCTTGACACACTTAGATCACAGACGTGGTCGACTGATACATGTGGTGCTTGTGGTGAAATGTGCTGTGATGTTCTCTGAGATGTGAGCAGCTCGCTGAGCTTTCAGTCGGCGTCCATGGTCATCGTTTAGAGAATAACGGTCTCATGTCTTGGTGAATCTTAAACAGCTCGTTTAGTGTCAAACACACTTTGGAAGAGACAGGTATTATAAAAAGAAGCTGCTGAAACAAAGGAGAGATGACAGGATGAGTGTGGAGCCGTCACCTCTGATAGAGGAGGAGGAAGACTCTACTTCATGTAAATGTTTCAGGTGATGAAGACGATAACAGTGAGATCGTGTCTTCGTCTCTTGGACTTCAACAACAAGGAAAAATAACATCATTCACAGAAATCCTAACTGCTCCTTCCCCTCCTCCTCCTCCTCCTCCTCTCATCTCTGCTTTTACTCTCCCTCCTCCTCCCCTCCTCTCTCCTCTCCCATGAGGAATCATACGCTCTCCTCTCCTCTTTTCACCTCCCCCTCCTCCTCTCTTCACCCCTCCTCCTCTCCTCTCGTCCTCCCCCGGAGTATTAATCTCATTCCTCCCCCCTCCTCTCTTCTCCGAGGCTGTGGAGGGAGGAGGGAGGAGGGGAGATGGAGGGATGGATGGATGGATGTGACTGCTGCAGCCTTTTGAAAAGAGAAGTGGTGATATTACAGCAGCTCTTTTTTTCTCCCCCTGCCTGCTGAAATGCATGATGGGAAGGTCTCCTGTGTTTTCGGCGGCGTCCAGTGAACAGGAAACATGTCAGGGTCAGACTCTGCTGCTGAGAGCACAAACACTGCCTTTATTTAACAGGCTGGCTTTCACATTCACACTCACTTTAATCAGGACTGAAATAATGTGTCTGAGTGAAGTCATCGTTCCTGCAGCCGCTCACAGGATGTTTCTTTATCAGCCTTTAAGTCCTGATTTCACCGCAGCTCCTGTGATATTTAAATAATATAAATTATATATAAATGGAATATTTGAATATTTATTTAAAAATGAGGTGATTATTTGAGTCAGAATTAAACCACTCTGTTCGGAGCTGGTCATTTAAATATTAACGTGACCACTAACCTGCATATTTAATCTGACCTCGGTTCTTTCAGAACATATAAACGATCTGACATGACGCCCTCTGTCAAGGTGCTATTTCTGACTTGTTGTCCTCGTGTTTCAGTCACTCTGCGGCTGTGTCCCACGATAACGTTAGAAACTTGTTTGTGTTCCACGACATTTCACCCAGTGCAGAACATCTGGGAATCATCTTGAACCTTCTGCAGAAGTAATTTTTGATTGTAAATGTGAGACGTTCAGGCGCACCTCTGCGTCATCACAACCAGAAACAAGGACCTGAGTTTGGTGACATCGTTGACTGCTGTGATTGGTGAAACTCACAGGAAACTATAATTGGTGGATGGTTGAATTTGCATTAAGGGTCTGAATTATCATCAAATATTGTGATGAATCGACTTCTGTTTTCATAAATCTCCAAACCAGTAATGTCGATTTTACACTACGCGACATGTTTGTCTGTTCCTACAGTCTCTGTGTCAGATCAGTCATAAAAATCTGTCTGTGACTTGGCCGACAGACATGACAGACCACACGATGGTCCACACCAATCATCACTGGTCGTCTTCTATGACGTGTGTGATGTCATCGGGTTATTCTCGTCCTGTTTTTATTTTTATTATTATTATCTCAGTCACTGTGTCTGTTCATGTTCCAGCTGAACTATACTGTAGTGACGTATAAAGTGTCACCAGATGGGCGGAGCTACATTTGAAGTACCACATGAAAACTTTGACAGTCACTGAATCCTCCACAGGAAGTTCCTGCAAATGTTTCACAATAAGAGCTTTGTCAGAAAATGAAGGGATTCTCTCAGCTGAAATGATAAGGGGCTTTTAATTTGAACAGAAACAGGAAGTGTTGAGTTTGATTAAACTAAAAAAGAGTGCGAAATGAGGGCGTGTGTTTGAAATGAAGCTGGTAGCCTCTGCAGCTGTGCTGAGTAAAGGCCCAGACATTATCTGTGAATTTTATTCCTTTATATCCTCCATTATCAGGATTATGTCGGGACATTGGGGGGCATCCCAGACGTGGCGTCGGTTGTCGTTTACTATGACTATGTAGTCTGAACCCATCAGATAACCTAAAGACAGTTTAGGTTTTTATTCTGCTAATTTACTGTGTGAAATGTTTCTCAGAAGGTGTCACCTAATTTTCCACTTTAGGAGGAGTTACTGTCCTGTAGTTTAGAAGGCCAGAGATCTGTTGCTAACAGTTGTTTATGTTTGTGTCTTTTATCAATGACCACTGTCTTTCTTTTTAACTGAAATTTTATTTAATCTGTGTTTTTCCAAACCTCAACTTCACTATTTGACCTTCAGCTAACTGTGTAAACAGATCCATTAAAACCTCCATCAGGATTTAGATTTCTGGACACAGTATTGTAGAAAATTTGTTGTCAGCAAACATTTTTGCAGAAAACAGAAATATTTAAATATTAATTTAGGATGTTAAAAATGTAAATCAGGCAACACTAATGTAACATTAGAATAACAACACAATCACATTATGTCTCCTGTGAGACATATATGCTAACGCAGATTAGTTGAATGTTGTTTTTGATCAGACAGATTTCTCATGTTAATACAGAGCTGTGTCGTCTGCAAACATCATCACTTTTTAACAAACGTCATATTAATTCATGAGAATATTGCATACAACATCCCTCTGTCTTCGGACCCTCTGTCCTCAGACTGTCACAGCTGCTGAGGAAAAACTCCCCCCAAAAAAGTATCACCAGATTCATCAGTTTTTCTTTATAAACGTCTTGTTTCAGACTGTTGAAGATCTTTTTGTTCTTCTTTCTGTAAAAATGATTCAGACTCGTTTTGTCTCTGAACAGAAGTTTGTCTCTGATAAAACAGGACATGTTTTTGGTTGTTGTATTTTCCTGTGTACAGTAACACTTCCTGTTGTGTGACACGGTTGTTGTTGACAGGACAGAATTCAGTGACTGGCTTAAGTTTTTTATCTGGTGAGTTGTTGTGTTTCAGTGCTGTTTAACTCTCCTGTCGGCCTCCTGAAGGGCCCCATCCCACAGGTTGAGCCTCGCTGCTGTAAAGACAGAAGCCTTTGAGGGTCAGTAACGATGTGACAGTGTGACGATGTGACAATCTCCTGTCTGAATGCTGATGGTGAGAAAGTTTGAACTGGCTGATCTTCAGTCAGTCTCATAAAGACAAGATGTGAATCTGTCTCTTTGTGCCTGTTTGTAGTTGACGATGATGATGATGATGGTGATGATGATGATGGCCCAGCTCTCGCTCTGAATACCAGATGTGAGAATTTTTTGGGGGGTTACAGTCTCTTGTCTGCGAGTGTCTCTGGTGTGTGCAGCGTGGGATTATGGGAGGACGACGTGCTGTCAATCATTTAGCGGCGTAGGTGTGATTTCCCCTCTCATGCTGCAGGTCGGTTTTGGATGGAATCTCATTACTGGCCGTGTTTCAGGGTGACTGACAGCAGAATAATGTTTGGGGCCCCCAGAGGGCCCCGAGCCGGCTAAATGTTAAATGTATGAATGCATGGGAGTCAATGGAGAGATGAAGTGTAGCTGAATATTTTTTTTTCCTTCCTGGGAAACAGGGTGAGGAGTGTGACCCTGAACACACCGTCTGCTGCTGTTTGACTGCTCGAACACAACGAAACACTTCAACACACAAACACACTGCTGAGCTTCAGTCATCATCATCATCATCACCATCACCATCGTCATTTATCTGAAACATTAAAACATCACAGACGTTAAATTGAAGGTTTGTGTCACATTAACGATCATCAGTCTGATTCACAGAGACAGACCTCAGATCAGATCCTTGATTCTTTTAGACCAGGATCGACTGCGGTGATGTCACCTGATGGATCTGTTGCTCCAACTGGACAAACTGGTTTCTCACCAGTATCTGCTGGAACAGTCTCTGACCAAACCTCCTGCAACCTGAACGCCACATGACATGTTCACATACAGTGAAGACAGAATCATCT